AAGAAGCAGCAGAGAGCCAGTTACTTGCAGGCTGGATAGGAACCCTGCAGGGGTGTCAGCTAGCTCCTGTGCTTTCTTTGTTTTCTTTCGTCCCTGACTTTTGCACAGCCACACATGCTTGCTTTGCATAGCTATCGTGGGTAACATAAGGAAGGCGCTCTTTTCTCCGTGCGAACTGGTTCAGCCAGACAGCGTTATCAATATAACCTTGAAGGGAAGGGAGGGCTTGGATTCCACTACGGGTGTGAATACTTCTGCTCTCAAGGGATTGGAGTGAGTCTCCCGTTCATGTAATATCCCGCCGGGAGGATTCCCGCATCCGTGCTTGGATTTCATTTGCTTAGCTAAATGCAGCATCAGAGTATATGTATGGAGCCCCTTACACTAATTGTTATTAAGAACATAAGAGACGCCAATGTTGGATCAGGCCAAAGGCCCATCCAGTCCAACATCGTGTCACACAGTGGCCAGAAATACCAGTGCCATCAGGAGGTCCAGCAGTGGGGCCAGGACATTAGAAGCCCTCCCACTATTGACCCCCCCCAAGCACCAAGACAGAGCATCACTTGCCCCAGAGCCCCTATACCTTGTGGCTAATAGCCACTGATGGACCTGACAATGTACCTGTATCACTTGGCAACAGACCAGTATTCCAATAAAACATAGCCTTTTCAGGAGGGTGTGTTTGGACCTGCTTGCTGTTGACCCTGACAAGGGGCTGGATCTGGCGTATGGGTCATCTATCTAGTCCAGCATCCTGTCTCACAGTGGCCAACCAGTTCCTCTGGACAGCCAACAGGGCACAGAGGCTGAGGCCTAACCCTGATTTTGTCTCTTGGCCCTGGGATTCAAAGGCTTAGTGCCTCTGAATGTCAAGGTTTCCCTCAGTCACCATGGCTAGTAGCCATTGATAGACTTACTCTCTATTAATCTATCTATTCCCCTTTGAAAGCTGTTTATTCCTGTGACCATCTCAATATCCTCCGGCAACGAATTCCACATTTTAATCACTCTGTGTAAAGTAGTATTTCCTTTTGTCATCCTGAACCTACTGCCCATCAGTTTCATTGGATGCCCTCAGGTTCTAGTATTTTGGGAGAGGGAGAAAAAATTATTTGTCAACTCTCTCCATCCCATGCTTAATTTTATAAACCTCTATCATGTTCCCCGTTAGTCGTCTCTTTTCTAAACTGAAAAGTCCCAGATTCCTCAGCCTTTCCTCATAGGGAAGGTGCTCCAACCCCCTAATCATCTTGGTTGCTCTCCTCTGCACTTTTCCCGGCTCTACAATCTCCTTTTTGAAATACGGGGACCAGAACTGTACACAGTATTCCAAATGAGGCCACACCATAGATCGATACAGGGGCATTACAATACTGACCACTTTATTCTCAATCCCTTTCCTAATAATCCCTAACAGAGTTTGCCTTTTTCACAGCTGCAGCACACTGGGTTGACACTTTTATTGAGTTATCCACTACGACCTCAAGATCTTTCCCCCTCTCAGTATTAGCAAGTTCAGACCCTATTAGCCTATACCTGAAGTTGGGATGTTTTGTCCCAATGTGCATCACTTTACACTTACCTACATTGAACTTCATTTGCCACATTGTCACCCACTCACCCAGTTTGTGGAGGTCCTCTTGGAGCTCTTCACAGTAAGCCTTGGTTTTCACCATCCTGAATAATTTGGTGTCATCTGCAACCTTGGCCACTGCACTACTCACCCCTAGTTCCAGATCACTGATGAATACATTAAATAGTACCACCTCCAATACCAGTCCTTGTAGGACTCCACTGTTTACTTCCCTCCATTGTGAGAACTGTCCATTGATTCTTACTCTTTGCTTTCTGTCATTTAGCCAGTTTTTAATCTATAAGAGAACCCATCCTCTTATCCCATAACTGCTAAGTTTCCTCAGGAGCCTTTGGTGAGGTAGCATGTCAAAAGCCTTTTGAAAGTCCAGGCACATAATGTCTGCTGGGCCACCATTGTCTAGATGCTTGTTCACTTTCTCAAAGAACTCCAAACGTTGGTGAGGCAGGATTTCCCTTTGCAGAAGCCATGCTGATTTTCTCTCATCAGGCTTTGTCCCTCTATGTGCCTAACAATTCTATCTTTGATTACAGTTTCTACTAATTTTCCTGGGATAGCTGTTAGGCTGCCGGGCCTGTAATTTCCTGGTTGCCCTCTGCATCCCTTTTTAGAAACTGGTGTCACATTCACTACTCTCCAATCTTCTGGTACAGCGGTTGAATTTAGTGACAAGTTACATATATGGGTTAATAGATCAACAATCTTACATCTAAGTTCCTTCAGAACTCTCAGGTGTGTGTCATCAGGAACTGGAGACATCAGTTTTTAATCCCTCCAGTAGAGCTAGAATTTCATCTCTGGTCACCTCAATTTGGCTCAGTCCTTCAGACGCCCTTCCAGAAAACAGGGGCTCTGTCATGGGTACATGCCCCACACTTTCCACAGTGAACATAGAAACAAAAATTAATTGTGCTTCTCTGCCATCTCCCCATCTTTCCTTAGCAATCCCTTTATTCTTTTGTCATCCAAAGGCCCCACTGCTTTTCTGGCTGGTTTCCTGCTCGGGATATATTTTTAAAATGTTTATGTTACATTACACTTTCCCACTTCAACTGTCACAAGTGTCCTCTTGCAACAGCATTTCAAAAGTACGTGTCAGCTAAGCAGCTGCCATAGCTGGTGGGGTGGGTGGGTGGAGGATGGTATGTTTCTGCAATGGAATCTTAAATTTTGTTTCTTCCTGAATCATCTTATCTTATAGCCTAGGCTGGTGACCTTGGTACCTCGTTGCTACTTTCCCTGAGAATGTAGACCTGTTAGGTTAGGCAGGCTTTTGCTTGTTCCCTGATTGGCCCAAATGCATCAGGGGGACCCTTTGAATGATGTATAACTCCCCACTGTGCACACTTGCAATCAGTTCTAACACAGAATATATGCACAGAAGACCTGCCTTTACTGTACTCAATAAACTTCACTCTTCTGAATGGAAGTTTTTGGGAACTGACTGCTGCAGGACTCTGAAAGCACGTCTTAAACTCATTTTCCCTGACTTTCCCTGACATTTGACCAATTTCCCTGATTTCCCCCAAAATGGTAACCCTGTTATAGTATTTTTGATGTCTCTGTAACCACTTTTAAAGTTAAGCCCAATGATATTCTTTACTCTTGTTGCGGAGAAAAGTATAAGGTCACACAAAAATGGGGTGAGATCATGAGTGGATCAAAACCTACCCTGACCTCCTTATCCATCTTCAGGCCAGACAGCCTTTCTCTGTTTACCTGTCTTGGGGGAGGGGGTTAAACCGCTTTCTCATCCTAGCAACAGTCTTGAGGGAGGAGGGGAATCAGTGACACATCTGGTTTGGCCCAACAGCAACTAGAGAATAGTTCTGGACTCTTTCGGTTGGCAGCTGCTCACTGAAAATAATGCAGCATTAAATTATGACCAAGGGTGCATTTACACACATGCACAACCTTAAGCAATGCTTACTTAGAAATGAATCTGTGTTCAATAGTACCTATTCCTGAATTAATAACACAACGTTTCAGCCTTCCCTGGGCTTCAAATAACTAAGCCATTCTGGATGAATCATCTGAGGGCTAACTGTATCATCTAGTGGTAAAAATAGAAATAACAAATCAGTCACACAAGCCCAGGAGGAATTGCCGAGAATCCCCAGAAGGCCAATGACGCTCAGGATGTATTGACAGTACACAACTCTATTGCTTTTATACCTCTTAAGCAACTTTCACAGTGCCTCCTCCAACCCAGAAATTTTGTCCTCAAACCACCCAGGACCCCCCCACACACAATCCATTTATCCCCTCCCCCAACAGCCTTTTCCTTAGAAAGGGCATGCACATACACCATAGAAGAAGAGACTGGATTTATACCCCACCCTTCATTACCCGAAGGAGTCTCAGAGTGGCTTACAATCCCTTCCCCTCCCCACAACAGACACCCTGTGAGGTAGGTGGGGCTAAGAGAGCTCTCTCGAGAACTGCCCTTGAGAGAAAAGCTCTGAAAGAACTTATGACTGACCCAAGGTCACACCAGCAGCTGTATGTGGAGGAGTGGGGAATCAAACCTGGTTCTCCCAGATAGGAAATCCTGATTATGAAGTATAAGATGTATATAAACTTTGGTCTTGGGATGGGAACTGATGTTAAATGCTACAACACAATGCAAGATCTGCAATGACTAATGCCACCAAAGCATGAAAGACTCCTAAAGTTTGTCATGATGCCTGAAAGTTTCTATTTGGGAGGAGGATAACCAGGACAAATAGCAATAGCAAGGTTTGCAATAACACACATACTTCTTCTGAACTGCTTTACAGAGAATTTCCAAAGAGTCTCTTCTACAGAAGCCCGCTCCTTATGCACAAATCAGCATTTTCAGTTTTCGGAAGACTGAAACTTTTTCAATGGGCACACTTATGCATCTATATTGACTAACAGCAATCACTATAATTTGTTTCAGCCATTATTGGGAAGAGATGCAAAACCTGATTCAACTAGAGATAATCGGTGCTCCAGTGCCTTCAGTGTTGTTTCTGCCTATTAGAGAAAGAAGAAATTATTTTAATTAATGTTACATATTAATTTATGAGGGTCCCAATGCAGTCACCCATGACTAAATTCTTAGGCTGTATTCCTGTCACTGTATCCAGAGTCCTCCTGCCCCCCTCAAGAGGCCACCAGTGATCAGAAGACTGTGGTTAACACATATTAAGGGAGCAGAAGACACTTTTACCCAGCGTACCATCCTTGCCTTTACAGGTGTGACTGGTAACGAAACATTGTACTTACCTGAAGGTTTCTTCTCCTTAGTGGGGCGAAGGCATCCACACTGGTTAGGCCACGCCTCCTCTCGCTCCAGGCAGGGCTATGCAAATTTTTGAGCATACCCAGTAGGACAAAGTGTGGGTATCCCTCCAGACATGAAATAACCTAGACCGCAACTAACTGCACCCCACTCTCGTGAATATTAAACTGGAAAAACAAACTTCTTTAATGTTAACAGCAAACACCCAAGTAAAAACTCGATTGTAACATGAAAAACATGTCATATACAACAAAACAATTTTCTTTAACATTACCCCAAAAAAACCACCAGGAAAAAGCTTGGTTGCCAACATGAAAAAACATAACTTTCCCACACAAAATAACAGCGGTGGGCAAATTGGATGCCTCCGCCCCACTGAAGAGAAGAAACCTTCAGGTAAGTACAATGTTTCATTCTCCTTCAGTGGGGGAAGGCATCCACACTGGTTATGTAGAAAAGATCAGTCCGGGTGGGTACTGTTTTTTCAGTTACTCATCCAGTACCCATTGTAGGACCCTCCTACCAAAGGCTGCCTCAATGGAGAACTGCTGATCAATTCTATAATGTCTGACAAAGGTAGGAAAAAGTAGACCAGGTCGCTGCCCGGCATATCTCCTCAATGGAAAAAGCAGCGGACGTTGCAGCAGCTCTGGTAGAGTGTGCCGTCACACCTGGTGGTGCCCTGAGTCCCTGCACCTCATAAGCCTCTCTTAGGCATCTCTTAGGTACTCTTTTCCCCAAGGTCTGATTCCCATAAGACACAAACAGAGCATCAGATATTCTGAAAGTCTCTGTTCTCTGTATGTACCACCGGAGGGCCCTCCTAACATCTATTTGTGCCATTGTTTCTCCTTAGTATGTACCGGGCATGGACAAAAGGACGGTAATATCAACTCTTGGTTTAAATGGAAATATGAATTTACCTTTGGCACAAAAGAGGGATCTCTCCTAAGGACCACAGATTCCTCCTGAAAAATGCACAATTCTTTTCTGACTGAAAAGGGGCCCCTAATTCTGAGACCCTTCTAGCAGAAGTGATAGCAACTAAGATAGCTACCTTCCAAGATAGGTGCCTTAGGTCAACGGCAGAAAGCGGCTCAAAGGGGGTTCTAGTCAGTGCTTGTAATACCCTTGGCAAACTCCAAACCGGGAATCTGTGCTGAATTGGTGGAGCCAACTGCGTGGTTCCTCTTAAATACCTCTTAATGAGCTTATGTGTTGCCAATCTGCCCATTCCCCTATTACTGAGGGCCGCAGCTACGTCCTCCACTTGTCTCTTTAATGTGTTGGGTCGTAATCCCCTTTTCCAACCCTCATGTAGAAAGGTAATGACATCACCAATATCTGGCTTCATAGAATCCACCCCCTGAACAACCGCCCAACTGTTAAAGGCCGCCCAGGTGTAATTATATATATGTCTTGTGGCTGGACGTCGTGCTTGGAACATGATGTCCACAATGTCCTTAGACAGGCCTGATAGTTCTAAGTCCTGCCTTTCAGTCTCCATGCCGTCAATTGAAACCATTCTAGATCTGGGTGGAGAATGGGTCCATGACGCAGTAAATCCCTCACACTTGGCAATCTCCACGGATCTTCTACTGACAGTTGAACCAGTTCCGAGAACCACATTCTCCTCGGCCAATATGGAACTATCAGAATTACATCTGCTACCTCCTCCCTGATCTTCCTCACCACCCTGCTGATTAGGGATTGGAGGAAAAGCTTATAGAAGACCCTTCAGCCATCTTACATGGAGAGCGTCCAGTCCCTCTGCTTCCCTCTCTGTGAACCTTGAGAAATATCTTGGTATCTTTTGATTCCTTGCGGAAGCGAAAAGGTTTATCTGAGGCATCCCGACGCGTGCTATCAGTCCCCTGAACACTTGGCTGTTCAGGGCCCATTCTGCTTGATCCACATCCTCTCGACTCAACCAATCTGCCTGGGTGTTGAATACTCCCTGAATGTGTTGGCTCGCAGACCCTTCAGATTCCTTTCTGCCCATGCAAGCATCTGCATTGACTCCAGGTATAATAATGTTGCTCTTGTCCCACCTTGGTCGTTTATGTGAGCTTTTGCCATTATGTTGTCCACACGTACTAGTAC